AGATGATTCATGGCATGTGCTAAATCCAGGCTTTAGTCAAGAGGAGCAAGCGAACATTTGTAGGGAAAAGCAGGACCGGGCAGGGTAAGGTGTAAGCTTGAGCCGCACACTGTCTGTGTGACCTCTCATAGTCTTCTGAGTCTCAGTTCTTCATCTGTGAAAACATAAACAGGGATAATAATTTTGCCATTATAGACTACTGCAAGAATCAAAACAGATTATGTACACATAATAACACACAATATGTATTGCATATTATACAGACATGTTTATGTGGATATATGCAGATGTATATTGTAATTACAATGTGAAAAATCTTCCAGTCTCCTTCAGCAGCCTAACCAAAGACAACTGTACCTTATAGTCAGAGGTTTTATCACTTATTAAAATTCTTTATTCTAAAATTTAAATTAATTCAGTGGAGTAGAAATAAGAAGGTAGCTTCATATAATTCCTTGATGGCCCAGTGTGTGAAGAAAGAGCATTTTATTTCTCCCAAGTCTTCTCCCTGTGCGTTCCTTACCATCATCAGCAGCCCTTCTTCATGCATGGAGCACCCTAGATCTCTTGTCAAGCTGAAGAGATCAAGCCCTGGACCCTGAAAAGTGAGTGAATGTTACTTAAGTTACTTCACCAAAGAGCGCTTACTACTGTAGGACACTTGCAAACTCCATAATTCAGAGAAATAAATCTCTAATGATAGAATTTAAACCAATAAGACAAATTGTGTTTAGTAAGCCCACCTTCCTTTTATGTCTCTCTCTCTTTTTTCCTCTCCCCCTTCTCAAGTTTACCTTTTGCCTTTTTACACTTTCAATGAACACAATGAACATTTTCAGTGTCGAGTAACTTTCATAGCATCTAGCTAAGATATTGTGTTAAGGAAGTTATTTGACTTCACTCTTCCCCACAAAAACAAACAAACAAACAAACAAACAAACGAACAAACAAACAAACAAAAAACACCTCAGAAGGCTGCTGATTGCCTCATCTGATTTTTATGTGATGAAGGTTGTAAAAATCCCAAGGAGAGGGAACATGGAATTTTTCTTCTCATTTAAAATGTACCTCATCCAAGGAGAATCATCAAGTAGGAAGAGGATGTGGCACGGTGTACTCTAACCTTTGAGTCATACATACACTACACCCAGATGTTTTGAAAGATCACCCCCAGGTTATATGTACTATTGTCCGTAGATATCTCAAAGCAAGCATTTAATGAAAATCCATCTGATTAACCTTTATTTAAATTCAATTGCAAGTAAACATGTTATTTTCATTTGTTTCTGATTTCTTGTTAGTTCTTTTAACATTTTTGTACTAAGTATAAATTAGGGTTGATGAACAATGTCATTAACACTTTTGGCCAGAGAACTCTTTGTTGTGGGTTGTGACCTATGCATGCTGGGATGTTTAGCAGCATCCCTAGCCTCTCTCTACCAGGTGCTCATGGAAGCTCTACAGTCAGCATAGTAAAACTGTCTTCAGACATTGCTAAACTTCTCCTGGGAGGCAGTCACCCCTTTTGAAAAGCACTGGTCTAAAGGAATACATTAGTAGTAATACGTGTGTCAATATGTCACTTCAATGTGACGTTCCTTTGCAGGGATATTTTAAAGCTTTTGTCAATTTAGAGAAGGTGTATTAGTTAAAGTGAGATCTTGTAATCAGCAGATAACACTTACCAGACAGTGACAAATTGCAGTATTTATTTAACTGCGTATTTTAAACAAATAAATTAGGGCAGTATTGGCAGTTCCTCTGCCTATGGAACTCGAGAGGGCTACTTGTGTGTAGATATCAGAGATAACGCATCGAAGGGTATGGAGAGTGGGGTACTTATACAACAATTGCTCTAGGCATTGTGTAAAGGCTGCTTCTGGGTGACAGGATGGGTGTTAATTCTTTAGCACTTGTGGCTTGTTATGTAGTGGGGTGGGGAGCAGTGGGCTTTGTTGGAATTTCAGCTAGCTTTGTTCTAAAATGGTAAGGATGGTGGGAATATGGGTAGGGTGATGACAGTGTCTGCAACACTTTTCTCACAGACTAAAGGAATTACATGAGAGAGTTTGAAGATGGATAGGAACCAAGAGACGAGCAAAGGAATAGGATACATGGTGACAGACTAAAAATCATAGGTGAAAGAATTGCTTGAGAACAGGATGGCACCTCCTCTTTTGAGTCTGGAGGGCAGATGAGAAGGGTGGCTGCTCAATTCGATGGGTTAATGGGTTTGATGACATGAAGATGTGGGATTAACATTTACTTCTTTGTTTTCTTGGTAAATTCTGAGAGAAGGTCATGTCTAGAAAATGATGATCTCTAATAAGTTAGGAAAGCAAAGTTTATAATAGTCCCTAAGGAAAATGGGAGACAAGTTAAAATATGTCTATAAATGGCATTTAAGAGCTGAGACAAAAATCCAAAAAATGTGTGGTAGCACCAGTTCTATGGGCTGGTGGATCATTTCCAACAGTACTCAGTAGATGTGGAATAGGGACAGAAAATGCAAATGTAAATTCACTCATTGATTGAATAAATATCTATTAAATGACAAATATGTATCAGGCACTGAGTGCTGGAGAAAAACAGACAAGTTACAAATAGACAACATTTTATGATTTTTTTTTATCCTCACCCAAGGATATTTTTTACATTTATCTTCAGACAGAGTGGGAGGGAGATAGAGAGAGAAACATTGATGTGAGAGAGACACATTGATTGGTTGCCACCCGCACGGCCCCATCCAGGGCTGGGGAAGAAGCACAACCGAGGTACGTGCCCTTGGCTGGTATCAAACCCAGACTCTTTGTCCCACAGGCCGACGCTCTAATGGCTGTGCCAAAACGGCTGGGCAAAAAAAAAAAAAAATTATGATTTTGTATATCTTATTTTCTGGAGAAAAAAATAAGAAAATAAACAAGATCAGTGAATACAATTCTAGTATATTAGTCCTAAGCATGGAGAATGGCGATAGGGAGTGTTGGAGCTGGAGAGAGGTGTCATTTTAGATAGGAATTGTGGGCATGACCTCTCTGCAAAGGTGTAGTTTAAAAGAATACTTGAAAGAGTGAGATATTGAGCCATGTGCATGTCTGGGATGCGTGCTCCAGGCAGAGGGCACAGCAAGCACAAAGGTCCTAAGGCAGGCGTGTGCCTGGCATGTTGAGGAATGGCAAGAAGACTGGTTTCAGTATGAGCAAGGGCTACAGTGGTTTAAACTGAGGTCAGGGAGATAACAAGGTTGGAAGTCCACCTTGAAAAAGGTCTTGTGTCCCATAGCTTTTAGGTTGTTTCAGTGCTAGGAGTTTCTCCGTGTGAGGAGTAAGGAGGGAATGGATTGGGAATGTTGGTGTAAACATATTTTAAATGACCATTGAGAAGGGAAGAAAATAAGTCCGAGAATAAGCCGATAATTGGGAGCCTTATCAAGAAGAAGAGAATCAAGAATTAATTAAAGCATAGAAGGCAAAGGAGGAAAGAGTTTCGAGGTGGACAATATACTTACTAGTGATAGCTAACATTTATTTAGCATGTGGGATGTGCTCTAAGTACTGTCTGTATTATTTCATTTACATTTCCCATTCCCCCAATAGGGTATTAAATAATATTATCCAAATTTTGTGGATGAGAAAATTGAGACCGAGAGTGACTGAACCACTTTCCCAAAGACATGCTACTGATCAGGCTTTGAACTCCATTAGTCTAACTTAGGCCCCTCTTCTTAGCAGTTGTTATATAGGGCAATGCTCTACAAGACTGTGTATGATAAAGATAGACACAGGTCTATGGGAACTGGATGTTGTGAAGTCATTGGTGAATATAGGTGGGAACATAGATAGTACTTTGCAGTAGTTTTAATGAAACAGTGCATGACAAGGAAGTGGAGGCAGAAATTTGGGGATTGGAGAGATAGGGGGACCATGGAGAGTGACCTCAAGGTGATGTAAAATGAAAATAAATAAAGATAAAAAGGAAGGTGCCAGAAGAAAGTGCAACAGTGACGACGAAAGAATATGTCCAATAATTTATGGAGCAAAGTCAGGAAACAAATTTGAAGGGTTGGAATGATGAATTAGCCTTGAAGGGGAACGCCCTGGTTTTGTAGGAAAATAACTGAGGACCAGAGAAACAAATTGCGAATCCCAGGTTATAAAGCCAATTAAACAGTAGCTCGGGTACCAGAGTTCAAGTTTCCTGATGGTCAAGACAAGCACTTTCCACTAGACCATACAACCACACTTGCTGAATCATTGTCTGCTGGTTACTTATCTCCATTCCAAAGGGAGTTACTGCAGTTAATAAATAAAGACACTATAGCAAAACCTACTGTACATGCACAGCTCTACAGAAACACTAAGGACATCTTGACCTTTGAGTTTCCTTCACAATTCCCTCCCCCTGCAGCTCTTCAGCACTGAGTACTGATTTACCTTCACTATAAACTGCCTTCCAGACACTGCAGGTTCCTATGTTGATGCCAAGTAGGGACTTAGGTGGAGAGAACTGTCACCCTCAGGGAATTTCTAGCTGAATTAGGCTCTACTAAGCCTTGAAATCAAAATGTTTCTGGTAGAGAAATGGAGTGCAGATGGGAAATCAAACCAGTGTGTGACTGGGCATGATTTAGAGCAACTCTTATTGATATGACAGATCCTAGCATGAGAGCTTTGATTTTAGTTGCAATGCAAGTAGGTGAAATTAATAATTGTATTTTTCACTTTTGAATTTCCTATACCTTGACAGTGGTTTATCGCAGCCATAATTTTGGGCCATGCATATTCTAGAGAGGTTTTTGACATAAGAATTTATATATTTTTTTTGGGGGGGGGGGCAAGTAATATTCAGTGTTTCATTGATGTATTTTTTTGTGGTGAATATATTTTACATGATATGAAATATTAAACATTTTTAGCTTTGGAGGAATTACAATGGTCTCTTTATAACACTTACATTATCTTGGGCAAACATTTAAATTCTTGATTAATGTTTAACCACAAGAAGTATACTCAATTCAAGTGAAGGATCAGTATCAGGCAGAGTTGTGTTGATGATTAGAATTCAGGCTCCAAGGAGAAACCCCAAGAAGTTATCTATTGGATATAACAGAAAGTGGGAGCCATACCTGACCTGATATAATGTGGACCCGATATAAGATCTTAATCTTCTCTTATCTTGTTACAGAAATTTGGATGGAAAAACAGTATGTATCTGAAAGAGAAGTGGACCCAGGAGCTGATTTCACTAGAAATCTCACTGTTGTGGAAGTTACTCGATTCAAAAGAGCCATTTTCAAAGGGCAATACTGTAGAAGTTTTGGTTGTTGTGAAGACAGAGATGATGACTGTGTCACTCAGTTCTATGAGGCGAATGCACTATGTTATTGTGATAAATTCTGCGAAAGGAAAAATTCTGATTGCTGTCCTGATTACAAGTCATTTTGCCAGGATGAGAAAGAGCCTTGGCATCCAGAAGGTAGGCTTTGGGAATATGTTTACGCATTTTACTAGTTTATAAAAAGATCTGTCAAAACTTTTTTTCTCTTTCTTTCCTCTTCCTTCCTTCCTTCCTTCCCTTTTCTTCTTTAACATAAAAACAATTTTAAGAAAAGGAATATTGTGATCATCAGGATAAATTTCTTTGGATTATTAGTGTTTGGGCTTACATGCCGGGCCCGTGGATCATATGAGCACCCTCAGGAGCATTCTGGTGTGACCGTTGTAAAGGCAGGTCTGAATCCTGTTTTGAACACAGATTCAACTTAGGTAAAAGTTACTTGAAATTCATTTTTCTTTCTTTGTAAAATGTACTGACAACAGTGTAACCTCTAAAGAATCTCATGAAAGTCCCATGATTATCTACAGATTCATGTAATATTTTACTTACTATTTCATGGGATTAATGGACTTCCTACCATTAGCACCTGTGGTATTGCAATGACATTACAACTAGTAGAAGAGCAAAATAAAGTCAGCCACCCACCCTGCCTACTACCAAATAGATTGTTCATGTATATTTTTGTTTTGTTTTGCCAATATGGGATGTTTAAACTATTAAAACAAAAGAGGACTTTCTATAGGGTAATTATAAAAGTCTAAAATGAGTGGATACATACAAATAATTTATAACAAGACTGATGGTATTTATTGTTTTGGTCCAATTATAGGAGAATGGCTATAGATTTTGAACAATCAATATATCCAAGGTTTGCAACAAAACACAAAAACAAAACACCAGTTATACTTGTATGAGGCCCTATTTCTCTGTCATTCATCTTGTCAAATCTCAGCAGGAATACAGTTTAAATCAAAGCTCTGTCTTACTACTATAAATGGGTATTGTGACTAGAAATTACAGTTGGAAGAAAATTTAGTATAAACTAAAATTTGGTATCCTTCAGAATCAAGAACTTGTTTCAAAATACAGATGCTGTGGCCTTCATCTTGCTTCTAAAAATTGAGGAAATGCTCCTTAAAAATTTCACAGAATTGTCCTTTATTCTAAGCCTTTGCCTTTATCAGTGAACAGCTCAGCAAACATTTATTTAACCCTAAAAAGTGGCAGATGCTGTACCAGAAATGGTAGATTTAGTTGTACATCAAAAATTATTCATTGAATGTCTCCTCTGGGCCAGACATAGAGCTTAGTTCTAGGGCAACAATGAGGAAGAAAAAGGGCAAGATCTTATTCTCCCTGAAGTGTCAGTCCAGTTGGTGTGTATGTGTGTAAGATAGTCAACAAATTCACTGTACAATTAATGCTGATAAAGTCTCTAAAGGAAACATTCAGGGTGCTGTGAAAAGTCTATCAGAATATAACATTAATATAGAAAGTAATATATACATTTAGCCTGGGGAAGGAGGAAGCAAAGGAAGACATTTAAGCTGAGACTCGAGGAGTGAGGAGAAAGGATCTGACCCAAAGATCTGAGGGCTGTTTCCGATATGAGACTGAGGAGTTTGGCCCTGGAACTGAAAGCAGCCACTGTTTCTGGAAGGTAATGATTACTAGAGGGTTGGGGGTGAGTCGAGGTCAGATTATGACAGCATTTATAGGTCACATTAAGGATTTAAGAATCCATTCTGCTCTAAGAACTCATGGAAAGATGTTAAGTAGGAACAGAGTTGGCTTCATAGGTGTTGACTCTAAATATTATATATAAGCTGCACTGCTTTTGATGTGCTAAAATGTATTTTAGCTTTTCTTATTTGGATCATATAGCCTCTTTAGAAAAGTAATTGCTACTTCTTCAATGCTCATTTTTCTTGAGAGCTAGAATTTTGCTAAGACTTTAATTTAAGATAATGTTTTAGGTAGAATTTATGTAGATATGGTTTTAATTCCATTTTTTTTTATGGAGGAAAGAAATTAATCATTTTATTTAGTAGCAAAAAGTTCACATTAGACTATAATTGCTCTCATTAAGGTAATTTTTTCCTTTTGTTTTATTTTGCTTATGGTAGCTGGTAAGAAGAAAATAGTCCCATACAATATTAAAAAATTATGCAACATTAACTAAAATTTAAAGATAATGGCATATTATTCATACTATTTTTTTGCATGTATACAGTCATTTCCCTCTGAGATGTGAACTTGTTAACTCATTGATCTATTAAATATTATTTTTCAGTTATCTAGTAACATGGTATTGTCTAGTTCTTTGTACCACAGCTGTTCCAGGAGCTCAAAATGACATCCTTTTTGTATAACCTGGAAGTAGGGCATATTGGTAAATATCTTCCTTCTGTGTTGTTTTCCTCGTCTCTGGTGGAAATGTTCAGTAATTGGAGGATCTCAAATGTCAAATACAGAAACAAGTGATAGAGTCTGAAACAGAACCAGTGTGGACTTTCCAGACAGAATCTTTTGGTGTAGCAGATCCTAGGGGAAGAGTCTAGTATACCATCTGTTGTGAGCAGGCCGAAGCTAATTTGATTATGCACAACTCATGTTCATGTCGGTAAAAACTGTGTGTAAGCCACTGACACACTTGAATTGGATGAGAGTTATTTACTCCTCTGCAATCTCCTTAACCACATTATAATGAAGATAAGTCACAGTCAACACTCTGCCTTACAAAAATATATATTGGTAGGAAGACATAAACCAATTCATACAACCTCTGTAAGCTTCATGAAGTCTCAAGTCCTTGCCTTTTAGATGTTCCCACATCTAACTTGCATGAAAAAAATTTATTGGAGGGACATATGATTATATTACAGAGGTAGTACTCTTATCCTTACAGTGGATATCAGGGAATGAGAAATCTTCTTACCAGTGGCAGGACATAGGACATATTACAGATCAACACCAGGGCACCAGGTCTAAGAGCAAAGGCTTTTGACATATACATTACAAAAATAGAATGTAACTTTAAAATATTTTATCTAATCTACACAGATATTATAATACATTATGATGAAGTACTTTAAAATAAATTACAAACATCTTTCATCTCTTCTCATATCAGTACACAATTGTTTTGCTCTCCAAGTATTTTGTATTAATGGCTGTTAATGTTGTAAAACTCACTTAATTTCAATAGTCATTACTTTTTGTTGTTGTTGAAATGCTCTGTGTGTAACAAATTCAATTAACTCACTCTGAGGTGCTTTATACATATATCACTGTGAAAATAGTGCCACCAGGAATTATCTTACCTCTCCATCATCGTAATTGTAAACCTACTTTCATCTCGGTTACTGCTTACTTTGAGTCAATTCCCCTTCTTGACTGCTGAATCCCATACTCTCGTGTTTTCAAGATCTTCACCCTTACAATTGTCTCTCTCTCTTCTTCCCCCTCCCTTCCTCTCTTTATATCTCTCTTTCTGGTCCCTCTCTCTTTCCTAAAACATCATTTTCCCCCTTCCATCCTGACCAACTATCAATTTACAATATATGTTTTTGTAGCTCCCAACTTTGAAAAAGAACCCTGGAGTCCATGTTCTTAACCAGCCATTATACCATTTCCTTCTTTCTTTCCATGGCAACATATCTAAGAAACATTTTGCTTCCTGACTTCTGATTCTCTCTCCAACTCATTTCTACAGGATGTCATTTCCAGCTACTTCAATGAAATCTCTCTTGGCAGGGTTATTGGCCACTTTCACATTACTAAATACAACATTCAGATGTCTGGTCTCATTTCCTTGGCCTCCCTCTGCTACTCTACATGATAGACCATTCACGCTTCTCTGAAACACTTTCTTCTCTTGCTTTCCAAGATTCTACTCTCTCTCGAAGTTGCTCCTTCCTCACAGGACACACTTTCCCAGTTTCTTCTGAATGTTGGTTGGCTGGAGTGTTTTAAACTCGGTTCTGGACCTCTTTCTCTTAATTATATACAATCTTTTCAATGGACTTGTATTTAATCTTAAGGCTTTAAAAAATAGGTATGTTGCTGTCTCTCAAACTCATGCTTCAGCCTTGACTTAACTCTGCATTTTCATAAACTACTCTGCTTGACATTCTCCAATAGGATGTCTAACCTAGATTCAATTCAAACCTAAAGTAGGAAAAGCAGACCTTGTGATTTCTTGCCACAAGCCTGTTCTTTATTTTAGTAAAAGCTTCACTGTCCCTGCATTATTGAAGTCAGAATCCCAGTGAGACATGCTTGATTCCTTTTTTCCTCATTCCCCAAACTCGATCTATGTCCCATTTGCTTTATCTCCAAACTATGCCTATTTCTTTCTCTGTGTCCTATCATGCACATTCTTCAGCTCCTGGGAACCCCATCCCACCCAGCACAACAGGAGTAACGTGGGCAGAGGCATTTTGTGAAAGACCTTAAAAATCATTCTAAAACACTTGATTCTATTCTAAATTTGATGAAGTACAGGTCAGAGAAGGGGCAGTCCTTTCCCCTTAGCACCTTTATGATTTCTTTTCCCTTTATCTATGTAACTGGTAAGATGGACAAGCAAGATTCATGGGGAATGATAAAAATCAGCTTTGAGCCCAGACAGTGTGCTCAGTGGATTGAGCATCATCCCAATCAGTTTCCAGTTTGATTCCCAGTCAGGGCACATACCCAGGTTGTGGGCTCAATCCCAGTAGGGGGCGTGCAGGAGGCAGCTGATTGATGTTTCTCTCTCACATCGATGTTTCTCTCTCTCTCTAAAAAATCAATAAAAACATATTTTTTAAAAATCGTCTTTGATTTTACCATTCACTCACCCTTTAAAATTAATAAGAGAAGTACTTCTCTTGACTGAATTAACGTGAATTATTGCATGAATTTTCTGCTGCTCCTAGATAATAAAAAAGTTCTAGGGTCTCTTTAAGTTAAAAACAGTGTACATTCATTTATTAAAAGTGTGTAATCCTGGGTGGCAATTAAAACTTTGAACTTGATTTAAAGTTGAATCTTTCCCCTCTTCTTTCTTATATCAAGAAATCTGTGGTCAGGAGAGAGGTGGTTTTCTTCCCTTTTCCATGATTATAAAATGTCAAAAATTCATGGGAAAGAAGTGAATTGATGCAATTACATAGAGATTAGAGATTCATTCATACATGCTGAAGAGAAGCAATTTTGAAATGTTTCCTACAAAACAATTTAAAAATCAGAGGACAGTTAATTCCATAGTGGCTGTTGTGATATTGTGATTGGTAGTTACACTAGATCCCTTAAAATGTTGCCTAAACATATAGATTTTCCCCCAAGATTGAATGACTAAGCAGTAGAATTTATTTTGTTTAATTAGGAGCCATTGAAGTGATCTATCAATTACATGTTTCTGTCAAAAAAGTTTTCACGTGATCAAGTACTAGATTTTGCTATGCTTATTGAACATACATTTTAAGTTTGAATAAACTATTTTCTCAAAAGGGATTTAATATATAATCAGTGTACCATTTTCACAATATCTTACTGATGGTTTTTATATGATGATAATTCAACACTGGTCTCTTTTGAGTAGTTTATATAATCTGGTAAACTAGCTAACAACTAGTATATAGTTGAAAAAAATGTGTTTGGAACACAAATAGTAGTAATCTTATTGGTTTCATGAATTTTTCTCCTGATTCAAATCCTGAAGAAAAAATAGAATTTATTTCTGTCAGGTAAATTCAATAACATAGTTTCATATTTTGTCCAAAATTTTGAGCTCCTTACTCTAGTCATATGCAATTAATCACATTCACATATGAAACTTAATTAGATTTTAAAAAGTGGGAAATGACATGTTTATTTAAATGATTTTATTGCTTACCTATTAAAACAGTTATTTTTTTAGTGTGGTTAGTGATTAATTCCTTAGTAATCTAGTTTTCAAATTTCACAACTCCTCTCTGTTGGAATATAATATGCAGTGTAAAGATAAAAGCTCATGAAATAAGCCCAGAAGAATTTGATTTATAAACCTTGACACAAACCAGATGTAAATTTACATCAGATTGGCACCACATATTTTTGCATAATTGAAAAACTAAATACAATTTTAGATAACAGTTTATTACTCAATTTAGAATTTTTATTTGTTGACATGTTATATTGACAGGTTGCCTCAGAAATGGTCAGCATTATAAAGAAGGATCAGTCATGAAAGAAAACTGCAACTCCTGGTAATGAATTTAAATAACACTAAAATGAAATCTACCGTGTGTGTGTTTTCTTTAAATAAATGGACATCTGTGAAACAAAGCATACATTTAAACACAGATAGAAACAATCATAAGTAATAAGATATCACATATCTATAGTTTGTAAAGCATATTTAATTTTAGTGAATGTTAATTATCTAATCATGAATATGTTTTTTATTGCTTGAGTTTGATATTCATGACAATGAGACTTCGTCATACATCAGGGCTGCTTTAAATACATCTCTAAATTACAAACATGATATACTACAGGTACATCATCTTTCTTCAAACATAGTAATTATATATCAAAACAGCCTGCCTTGACAGGATGGTCTTATAGAAGGTTTCCAAAGACAAATACCTTGAATCTACTGTCTAAATTGATTTGTGTTTTATTTATTTATTTTTTTATCCTCACCCGAGGACATTTTTCCATTTTTTACTCAGATAGAGCGGGAAGGAGAGAGGAAGAGAGAGAAACATCAATGTGAAAGGGACACATCGAGTGGCCACCACCCACACGACCTAACCAGGGCCGGGGACAAACTGCAGCCAAGGTACATGCCCTTAGCGGGAACCGAACCCGGGTCTCTGTGGACCGCAGGCTGATGCTCTAACCGCTGAGCCAAACCGGCCAGGGCTTGATTTGTGTTTTAAAACTTTGTGGTTTTAAACTGTTTCAATGAATGTGGTCATTTTATTTATGAATTGCCTGGAAAACAAGAGAGGAGCACATTGGTAGCTAAATACATATGTTATATATACACACATACATATACATATACATACATACATATATATACACATATACATACATATATATACATATGTGTAAATATATATATATATATATATATATATATATATATATATATATATTTTTTTTTTTTTTTTTTGCCAAAAGTCAAATAGGCATATGGCTAACATTAATCAAAATTCATTTTATGCCTTAAGAATATGCAGCTCTGGTTACTAATTTTGTAAATGTACTCCATCAAGGCCTGAACACTGTTGTAATTTTTGTATCTTTGCAGCACATGTTCAGGACAGCAATGGCAATGTTCCAAGCATGTATGCCTTATTGAACCAGAATTAATTGAACATGTCAATAAAGGAGACTACGGGTGAGTGGAATCTTGCTTTATAGGCTTTCAGCATTCCCAGTTACTCCTCAGGGTTCAGACAATGTATTTCCTATCATTTACTCCTAAAAATAGTCATTTCAAAAGAAAGAGTGGAGAAGAAATGGGGAGGTAGGTAGGAAGATATGTAAAATTGGGATTCACAGAGGTGAATATTAAGTAATTAAAAATAAAAATGCATGGCGAAGAATTATAAGGGATGGTCTTAAATTATCTAGAGAGGAGCAGTGTCATGGTATGAGCAAGGAGTGTAGGGGGAGCTTCAGTTTGGATAACTATTCAGGCAAAATCAGGAAGTAGGCATATGTGAGTTATTCATGTTTACCATCTTTCCCTCTGCTGCTCAGCCAATCACATGCTCAGCTGTCCTGGGCATAGCCGAGCTTTATGAGGGCAGTAGATCTTGATGATCCCCCAAATAACCAACCCATCTAGACAATTTCACTGAAATGGCTGATATCTAGTCAATTTTACTTGCAGTAGAGTCCAAAGAGAGATTGAGCCATTTTACTAAAGACAGGGCTGATTGAGCCCTAGCCAGCTTGGCTCAGAGGTTGGAGCTGTGGCCCTCAGATGGAAGGGTCTCAGGTTTGATTTCCAGTCAAGCGCATGTGCCTAAGTTGCAGGTTTGATTCCCCAGCCCCAGTAGGAGTCTTGCATAAGGCAACCAATGGGTGTGCCTCTCTCACACTGATGTTTCTTTCTCTCTCTCCTTCTCTCCCTTCTACTCTATCTAAAATCAATGGAAAAATCTCCTCAGGCAAGGATTAACAACAACAAAAAAGACAGGGCTGACTGACACTTAAACATAGCAGATGACTGTTTGATGCTCTTCCAAAGATCAGTAAATTCGTTGGCTTCTCCATTTACAAAGAGGAAATTAAGATGTTGGTGCTAACACTATCTGTCTCTATTGAACCGAAAGGAAGAGGGATAGGCTGGTAGGTGTCTGTCTCAGGACTTCTCGACTGCCATTAATCACATTTTGAAAATGATTTCACATAAGATGATTTATTGTCAAGCAACCCTAAAAGTAGAGTAACCCTGAAATATATTTTTAAAAATTAAAAATATCATTTCCTTGCATACTTAAAACATATGCTTCCCAGCACAATGGGGACATTATTTCAATGTACCTAAGGTATTTTCTTGGAATATATAAAATATAGAAAGTTGCATTTGTTGACATTAATATTCTTAAAACAATTCTCAATTCTTGTGTGTGTGCGCGCGTGCTCGCATGTGTTTAATCAATATTTTAGGTGATAATATATTTTAAGTATTTCTAAGAAAAACTCATAATTTTCTGTGGTTGATATTCAAATTATTAAAAGAACATAAGAGTATGTGTCATCATGAAACATAATCTGAATTGGATTCATAAAAGGATTCAAATGCTTAGCCTACAATTGTACACACACTTCCAAGAAACCATAATAAGTAGCCCACCTTTCTATAGACCCATGAGAAACCACAGTCTAATCCAATGTGGAAAGAAAGTATATGTAACAGTAAAAAAAATTGTTGGGAATGCTGCTTTCTTTGGGAAGAAGAAATTTCATTACATCATTTGTTTATTGACAGAGTACTCTGGGACTATTTAAGTGGCATGGACTTTGCCTTTTAGTAGCAAACATAGAAGACTTTACAAGAATAAAATATGAAGTATAATTGGAGCAAAATAAAATATACATGGACCTAAGTGGGTGTGTGTGGGGAGAAAGTAAAACACATAAGCTATGAAGAAAAGGAGTAAAATTAAACTTAATTACTGGGGAAAGGAAGTCCTTGAATTTCAAAAAAAGTTCTATTTTCTGTGGCTTCTGGTCAAACTATTTTCATGTGTGAAAACAGAATTACATATCATTCATTATTTATTAAATGTTTTTTAAAATAACCTACATACCAATATGTACAACCTTTGCTTTAAAACATTTATTTCTTACATCTTGGTAGTGTATTAGATCCAAGTCTCGATTCATTCTACGTAACCCACTCTAGTGCTTACTTATTCCCTGTATTATTTTAATGCAATCAATTAATATTAACATAATTTATTTCTTTTGTGGCACTGCTAAGGATACCAATAAATCATTTCTGTCTTAAAGGAATTTATAATCTAGCGGAGTCAACATGTCATACTTTATAGATGGATTTCTAATGATAGGGAAGTACATAAGTACTAAATTATTGGCTTAAGTAATAATCATCTTGTTTGTGGAACAAAGGGGTATTGATAACTGTTCCAGTTGCCTGATGCTACACAAAAAACCTCTCCAGAATGTGGCAGCTTAAAACCACAGGCTTTTCATTTGTTCACTTCAGCAGTTTGGGTGGACTTAGTTGAGGCTCTTTGCTGGTTTCTCTTGGGGTTTTATGTAACTACAGACATCTGGAACCTCAGCTGGGCCTGAATTGTCTAAGAGGGCCTCTCTCCCTTGTCTGGTGGTTGGTGCTGGTGGTTGGTGGGTCCATGTGTCTGCTAGCCTTCTTGATGGAAAGAGCTGCAAAAATTTTGAGGCCATGTTAAATTGATCACACCTCTAAAATTGATTTTTCTTATGAACTCAAAATCTAGTCCGTTGGACAAGTTGGCCTTGATTTTTCACTCGTTTTGCAAAATCAACATTCCCAGACTGCAAGGATTACCTCTTTGATTTCTCCTTGGTTATTGGTGTCCTCCTCCACCTTGATAACCAGCCCAGAATATTTGAAGTTAGTTTGATTCTTCTTTTCTCTTCATTCTCAGTCACCATGGCTCTTATAATTCTCATATGTCTTTTAATATTTACTTTCTCTATTCCTTTGCTATGTTCTAGTGCATTTCTTTATGGAACCTAGTTTTAAATGACCCAACCGTATCTCTCTGTTTTCAGGTTAACCAATTCTTTATTCTTTCATGGTTATCCTTCTAAAACAAATGTTTGCTGCTCATGTTCTTAAAAATCCTCAATGACACCCTATTGCTTATAAAATAAAATTATACTCCTTAGTGACCATCTGACCCAAATGCCTCTGTACTGCCTCATTGTTGACACTTTTTCCAGCCTCTGTCTCCCTTGTTCCTCTCGTAATTTAAGCATTTAATTTATCTGCTCTCTCATCAGTGTTTTACCTAATTTCAAACCTGTGGTTTTATTTCCAGAGTTGCCTTTATTCAGAATAAATATTCTCTTCTTTTACATCTGACTACCAAACTCATTCTCATCCTTCCGGGCTGAGCACTAAAGTCACTGTCTGTGAAAACGATAGCTACTCCTTCAGGCAGAGTTATGTCATGAATCCTGTACTCTAATCGTCCTTTCTCCTACTGCTAATAAATGACACATACTGAAGTCATTTCTATCTTTGTTGTCTTTTTAGGTATGCGCTCCTTAAGGGTAAATACATTTATTTATTTTAGTGTTTCCAGTGCTTACAAGAGAATCTGATAGATAAATTGAGAATGTTTAGTAAACGCTAACTTGGATGAGAAGGAATGGATGAGTCTGGGTCAAAAGAAGATGGTGTAGGACATATGTCTTTAACATATTTTTTGGGTTTAAGTCACATCAAAACATATATTTAACTTTGTGACCTGGTACACACACACACACACTTGTAAACACACCTGCATACACACACCTGTGGGAACTCACCTGTACACACACACCTAGATATTTACAAACAGCACTTCTCACTATGTGTAGTAAACCCTAATATTTTCTATTATTTTTCCTACACAGTATTTTATTTTTTTAAATACTGACCCTTGCTCTTAAATTTAGTGATTAAATAAATGACCCCAAAATGTCTCTGAATGTTTAGAAACTACTAGTGTAGGGCACCAAAAACATACTTCACTGATGATATAATTTTGCCTAAGGCTGGTCCTGTTAGTCTCTTCAATAATGCTGCAATACTCAATACAGTCAGAGGATTTCATATTGAAATTCCTCGGGTGATGGGGATTACACTTTAAAATGATGTCTTAAAGTTGCTTAAGGTTTTATGAACTAGCAGATCTTATAAAAGAAAAGCATTAACTTGCTAAGCATGTTATTGAAAATTGAGTTTTATCTTTCATCAGTCATAGTAGCCTATCACATTATAAACAATTTGGTAATAACACAAAAGGATAAAGTTTAGATTTAAGTACTGAAAATATATTACCCTCAATTTGTAGAATTCAAACAAGCAATGATTAAATTACTTTCCTCTGTCTCATTTTTTATCTCCTAACATTAAGGGATTATTTTTGTCTTCAAATTTCAATATTAGAATTTGAATACAAAGTTTCTTTTTCTATGTAAGGGCACAAAATATGTCTCTAGAAAGATATATATATATAATATAATATAATATATATATATATATATTTTTTTGTTGTTGTTGTTACTTTATACCATGATAGAATATTTCAATAAAATTAATTAGCACTGATGTAATGTTTTAAAGAATACCTATTTTATTCTCAGGTTTTCATGGATACTTCTTTATATATGGCCAAATTCTTTTTAAATCTAGATTATAAATAAAATGGATTACCATATTTAATCTATATCTACATTTCTATACATTCAAAATTCTATGTAACATGTGTCTAATGACATTAAAATTGCATATATTGAATGCCTTATTACCATTTAATCACTTTGCAGTTTGTAAAGATTTTATATTATTAAATTTAGTCTATATTGATGTATCTTTTGGTTCCTCACATGTTCATTAAAGTAATGGAGACAGACCTTGTTTAGGAAGAGTATCTCATCTGCTCCACTACTGGCGTGATCAATAATGCATCACTTTTATAAAAAAAATCTACCTTGCAGTAATTGTTCCAAATTTGTGAGATTTGCTTTTGTATAATTTCAGAAATATAAATGAACATGTATTTATAAAAGAGTTATTATATTACCTGTATATATTTCTTTCTCTCATTTGTAAGGCAGATGGACAGCCCAGAACTATAGTCAATTCTGGGGAATGACTTTAGAAGAAGGTTTCAAACATCGTCTAGGCACCTTGCCGCCCAGCCCCGTGCTTCTGAGCATGAACGAAGTGACAGTAAGTGTTTTCCTCTGGAACTTGTGTATGTGTGTGTGTGTGCCTGTTTGTGTGTGTACAGGTGTGCATGTGTGTGCATTTCAAGTGATTTTAAGAAATAAAAAATATTGAGTTCTGAGCTTTCAGATTTATAATTTTGTCATATTAATAAAAAACCTTTCCCAAAATGGTTGTTACAGCCCTCAAAATTGCATTTAGAGTTTTAAAGTTTATTCATATCAATTAGATATAGTCTCCTATCTTCAAGAACAATTGTGTGTTCATTTGCATTGCCAATGATTTCATAGAAATTCATGTTTCTGATTATTGGCTGTTTAGTGACTCAGTGCTTAAGAAAGGGTCCTTATGTCTTTTTAAACAATAAGCAAAGTTATTCTGTGAATTAGTCTCTTGAACTCTCCATTATCACATGAGGATAAAATAAATGCCAATAACTGCAGACATGTATGCTCTGATGATTAATAAGTTTATCCTCAAAAAATCCTCAGTATTTCCATTGAAAGAACATCTTCAAATTTTGCCTGCTGGCCTGGCACACACCTTTGTGAGATTTCGTTTCCTAATGCTCTTACGCTTTGTACTATTGTATTGGTCTTCCCTTTCATTTTTAAGAGGTGTTTTCATCTGACAATAGGTATCTTGCCTAAAGAGACATCTACCTCTGTGATTATCACAGACTATAACTGCTAGAACTGCAGTTTGAGGTCGGAGATATGAGGCATCTCTCAGGCACACACACTTTGCAGCTGAGGTGTGATGGTATTCAAGGCCTACGAGCAAGTGCCCAGGGCAGGCTGGGCTCCCAGAGTGCTGAAATGAGGCTTCTTCACTGTGCAGTAAAGATACCTGTTCCTGGCTTCCTGCATGCTCTCAGCATCTGAGAGTAAACAGGGCTGTTGTTTGCTGTTGGATAAATTGTAAAGCCACGGGTTTCTTATTAGACATTTAATGTGCTTTGCTTTTGAGAGATGTAATTCCCTGAGTTGTTATTCCAATTCACATTCCACTAGCAGGGCCTTCTAAATTATAACTGGTATCAAAAAAGATAGTAATAGCTGCCATTTATCGAGGAGTTGTGTGTTAAGCACTCTTACAAGCACTTTCGCACATCATCTCATCTAATTCCCGCAGCAGCTTGGTGTAGTGGGTTCTATAATTATTCACATTTTCAAGACAAGGAAATGGAGATTGAGAGCAGTTAAGTCACACTGAGACTGAGAAGTGAAAAGCCACCACAAAATTACTTCAATTACAGAGCCAAGACATCTTAAAAGATCTGCCCCCAAAATAAGTCCCCAGAGTTCCGGTAGCATCAGGAAGTTCTGGCCTACCAAAATCCAAAATAGCAAAAAGCCTTTTAATCTTTGATCTAACGCTAACTTTAAGAAATGATGAGCTTAGATGTATTTTTGGATCTTTCCTGTAATCGGTAAGATATAAAATCTTTAGAGGTGTGACTCAGATTCATGAATTTTAGTAAAGTGTGTCATGGGTTGTAAAAGCTATTTTTTTCCCTGTTTTTTTTTCCCCCCCTTTTGTCCTCATCTGGGAAAAAAAAGAAAAAAGAAAAACAGAATCGTTTAAGAAAATAATAAATTTATATCTTTATAAGGATTTCTCTTTCCCCTGCTTTTATTGAGGGTCCTGGTCACATATTGAGTGTCTATACTACATTTTCTCTGCACTATTTCTAACATTTTCTTTTTAAGTTTTAATTTTTGCAATTTGGAATATTTTATATTCTAGAGAAAATGGGTGCATTTCTTTCCCAAGTTGCTATCTACCGTATCACAGAAAAAAATATTTAATTCTAAATCATTATTGACTGCTGGGGTTTGTTGGCAAAAAGTCACTGTGGTGATATTAAAAAAAAATCTTAGTAATCAGTAGTTTGGGAGAATTTAACTAACCTAATGCTATGAATTAATGTAATATAGCAGCCTAGTAATTCCAGGAAAGTAATAAGGAAAATTTGGTTGATCTGTAAGAGCTCCATTATCTACTTATGATGTAAGGCAAGGAAGTAGCTTTTTCTTTCTAGGGCACAGTGGCTTGAAGACTGAGGGGTCTTACAAAAGTTTTTTAGTGTTGGCATTGTCCTTATATCTGGTCAGATATAAGAAAATCAGAAATATAATTACTTCTAGGGAGAACATGAAGTTAATATGAACTGAAGTACACTGGTAACTACAGGAAGAGCTAAAAAAACAAGTTAGTTCTTAGTCTGGTGACTACATCGAAAATACCTCCAGTACATCCAATTGCCTCTGAGTACATTGAAAATGAATTATTTTTCTATATGTTTCTGCATAACTCTCTCCCCAGCCTCCAACTGTTTCCAATTTTTTTTTATACCATTTTCAGCATAAGATGGTCTATATGTACAGTTAGGGTAGGCAGTTTACAATAGTGGTAATGATTTTGCTGAGAAAATTCACCGTGTCCCTACCCCAAAACATCTCCCTTTCCTTGACCCCATTACGTGGTTGCAAGCTGGGTTTCATGACATCCTTTCATCCTGGGTGGGAAAGATCAGCGATGAGTCATCACTGGTTCCTCTGAAAGCTCTTGTCTTCCCTGCCTGGTTTCCTGGATTCATCCCTTGGCTTCGGTCACTGTTCCCAGAATGTGCTTGCTGAGGATGAGTAAGAGGAATATCAATAGGTATTGTACAGAGAGCTCCACGGTCATATACATACGGAAAGTCTGTTTCATCTGTAGGAATCAGTTTACTTGAAATACATTTTTGTAACGTGTGCTTAGTAATAATGAGGAATAGAAAGGTGTTGATTGCAGCAGATCCAAAACAGGTAATTTAAGGATTTTAGAAAGCCCTTCCTGGACGGCAGTCCTAAATGAAGACAGACAAAAGGAAACACAAACTTACTGTTCTCTCTGGATGCAAGCAGAGCGGATGAAAACAGTTTGAAAAAAAAGGGAGAGAAAGAAGCCTGAGAGGGACCCTGCCGAGCTTCTTTCTGTGTATGAAGACGCACTTCACCCACTTTAGGGTTATGTCTAGTATCAGGCCTACAAATGCTGGCCGATTGCTTCATGCTTAAAATTTTCCTGAAAGGGTTGTCTTGAGATTGTTCAAAATCATGTCTTGATTGTCCAGCTCAATTCAAATTGTTCTACACTATAAATGTTAGGAACAATGGAATGAATCAGCATTCTGCCTCAGTCCAATGGAACTTTGTATGTTGTATGGTTAGATTCACAAAGGGACTGACTGGGAGCAGTCCTTCAAGAACTAGAGCTCCCCACCAGAACTTCGAATTCTGCTCATTGAGCCTTTTGTCTCCTTATGGTAAAAGAAGGCTATGACATGGTTGTACATTATATCTTCCTTCTGAAGATTCACACTATTCATTAGTATGTTGAACACACTGAGAATCCTTATTCCAACCTTTTTTTTTTAACCTAGTGTTTCCTAAATTCATGGATCTGAGAATCTTTTTTGTTTGTTTGTTTGTTTATAATGATTATTAATCTTCCCAGAGATTTAGGCTCCATAAAATACACTTTAGGAAATGCTAATTTTAGCTAGACTATTGAAATAAGAACATTGGAGGGAGCAAAAGCATATTCATATAAAATAGAATATTCTCAGTGTTTCAGAAAGAAAACAATGGAGCCAACTAGTTATTATGACTGTGTGCAAAACTGGCATTGACTGAGGTCCTCTTCAGCCAGCAGACACATCATAGTTGAAGCCTGTTAATAGGCATGTGTAAGACAGTGTGTTTACCCATGTGGCACCATTTCATATACTGGACAGCCAGTGTGCTTAGGTTTCAATTGGGTTCTCCACTTATTGCCTCAGTTTCCTCCTCTGTGAAATGATGATAGCAGTAGTTCCTAGTTCTTAGGGTAGCAAGATTTTCATGAAACACGAAATGAGGAGTGCTCAGCACAGCACTTAGATGAAAGTTGTTCTTTATGTCTTGGATTAGCCTTAGGAGAATAGCAGGATTCTAAAATAGGCCAATTCTCTAAGCACTACATGATCCAAAGCTTTATCATTTGGAGCATTTTATTTGATAAAGAGAGGTAAAGCTCTGGATTTATTGGCCCTGATGGAGTTTACATATTTCTGGTGAACCTGAAAGTTCTTCTATGCCGCAAATCAAATAAAATCAAATCATAGCAAAGCAAATCTAATCAAATCAACTCTGTACATGAATATTTTTTTCATGTATAATATTCAAGCACTTTTTAATTTAGGAAATAACTTCAGAGAGCTTCACTATGTGGCCCTGGTCGGTGTGGCTCAGTTGGTTGGAGCATCATCCTATACACTGAAGGGGCTGCAGGTTCAATTTCTAGTCAGGGCACAAACCCATGTTGTAAGCTTGATCCCTGAATCCTGGTTGGGGCATGTGTGGGAAGGCAAGGCACCTGACTGATGTTTCTCTCTCACATCAATGTTTCTTTTTCTGTCTCTCTCCCATACTCTCTAACATCAATAGGTATGTCCGTGGGTAAGAATTAAAAAAAACACACAAAAAAACTTCACTGTGTTATGTTCTATTATAAATATTATAAGTATTTTGAATAAAAATGCTATTTTCAAATAAAAGTGGGGAAATTAAGAGGTTTTTTTTTCTGTACTTAGTCACTTAAAAAACTTTCAAAATAGTTCTGTTGGTGCTGATTCTCCAGGGAGAACATAAATGTTAATAAAAGCTATTACAGATAAGCATCACATCTAAGGTGAGGCTATTTGGACACTAAGAAAACATGAAGAAGCCTGGAATAATAATGTTACTGTACTATATTATATGGTATGAGATTGATGTATGTAAAATGTTCTAAAATATTTTATCAACCTCATAGCTCACCCAATAGAAATGACTTCAGTGTGTTTTAGTGGCATTACTAACAAAGGAAAAATAATGTTTTGTTCTATGACATGTTGAAAGTTAAGGTAAAATAATATTTTATGTATTATGTAATAACTTTTAAAGCCATTGATCAGTGAGGTTAGAAATACAAAT